CTCGACTCCCAAATTTTCATATATCCTAATAACCAAATTCTCAAATTTTCAAGTCGTCAAATTATCGAATATCTCAACCTCCAAATTTCCAAATACCTTGAGCACCGAACTCTCAAATTTTCAAATCTTCAAATCACTAAATTCCTCAACCTCCAAATCACTAAATTTCTCAACCTCCAAATTTCTAAATATCCTAATCACCACACTCCCAAATTTTCAAATCTTCAAATCACTAAATTCCTCAACCCCCAAATCACTAAAATCCTCAACCTCCAAATCACTAAATTTCTGAACCTCCAAATTTCCAAATACCCTAATCACTAAATTCCCAAATTTTCAAATCTTCAAATCACTATATTTCTCAACCTCCAAATTTCCAAACACCCTAACCTCCAATTATCCAAACTCACAAATCTCCAAATATATTTCCAAACACAAAAATTCGCCAACTGTACCATAACAACAGAATTCTACATCCTCAGTCTGCAAGTAAATTAGCAGCGGTATAAATTGATTAATGACGATAAGATTATCTAATACCACATACGTATCTACCAAAGTTAAGACGTTTGATCAAAACTAATTTGCAGTATCCAAACTTCGAACAGTTTCAATCATTTCTAATATCTGTTCGAAATTAATCTCTCTAAAATAACTATCCCCAACTTCATTTAATTCATCATTCACTAACCTAAAAAACATACCCATTTCAATTAAACTTCACAGGGTATGAATATGGATTCGTAATCTCGAACGAACGTTTTTAACGAACGAACTTTGTGGACGAAACGAAAATAATCGGGACGTGACATAATTTATAGCGTAACGAAATTAGAAACATCAACTTTCAGCCGTCGTGAATTAAGTAAGAAACTTTTCCTCGAATTCGCCGGCCTGAAGTCCCGTAATTACTTAAATTAGTTTATGGCACGTGCGAGACTAATAAGTTACAAAAGTGTTCCGACGATAGCACTCGGTAAACCCTGGGGTGCTAGCGGGACGTCGACAACTTTAATGCACTTTACGTACGTTCTACAATCGTGTTTTACAAAAGGCAATAAAAATTATTTTAGACGATCGTTCGATGTATGATCGTATGTGGAAATTGTTCGACCATGTGTGTTCCTCTGCTTTGTCATATAGGGTGTCTCGTTTGAATATCTTTGGGATTATTTTCTTGCATGATTTTTGAATTTATTTTCTTAAATGACTGCAAAATTATATTCTTGAATGTCCCTGAAAATATTTTCTTGAACATCTGTGAAATTAATTTCTTGCACATCTCTATAAATATTTTCTTCAACATTTCTGAAATTATTTTCTTGAATGTCTCTAAAATTATTTTACTGAATATCCCTGAAAATATTTCTTTGTACATCTGTGAAATTAATTTCTTGCATATCTCTGTAAATATTTTCTCGAACATCTGTGAAATTAATTTCATGCACATCTCAGAAAATATTTTCTTGAACATCTATGAAATTATTTTCTTCAGTGTCTCTGAACTTATCTACTTGAACATCTCTGAAACTAATTTCTTGAACACCTCTAAATTATTTAACAAAATTTTGTTAAATCTCCAAACTGATATAGGACACTGGGAAATTTCATAAATAAAAGTGAAATTGTCACGTGAAATAATTTGTAACATAATTTGAAGCTAATTGTTGTTTCCCATAATAATGAATTACTGTCAGCAAATAATATATAAATCTGTCGATAAGTTAATCACATATTGTGTACATCAGTTAATGAATATTTTATAAACAAATATGTATAGCATCTCATAATGCATATTATATAAACAAATATTGCATACAATATCTGTTGTAGAATATTTTATGAACAAATATGCATATGTTATAATAAGTATTATATAAACACATGTTACACATGGTACATGGTAAATATCTAATAATGTATGTACAGGGTGGTTCACAACTTGTGTTACTTCCAGAAAGGGGTTGCAGCTGACACGATACTGAACTTTTTCCTTTGCAAATATGGGGCTTTTTGAATTGTTAAGGAACATCTCGTATAAACGGATATTAAAAGGGGATTATGGAGATTTAGCGTGAAAGTTTTCACATCGAAGATGCACCATCGGACAACTGTTACCACAAACACATATGGAACTAAGACAATGATTGATAGCTACCATAATTTGACAAGACGTGAGTTTAGTCGGGCACTGAACATTAAGGTTAGAACCTATTATTCTCACGTCATGTGAAATCATGACATACTTGGACTACTTTTAGCTCAACATTTATAATTGTAAAAATGTTACAAATGTATTTTATAGGAATTTTATAAAAATGTAAAATTTTATGTAATTAAATTTTCGTTAATAAATCTCAGAAATTTTACAAGAGTTTGAATTGCCAAAAAGATGGGTTGTCAATCAAAACAGTGACTGATATGATTAATTTTATTCATTTCTGAAATTACAAAAGATTGCAAACAACACAAATTACAAAAAAAGTACTGACTTTAATAAATCTAAAATTACAAGATGAATTTATGTTTTAACTCATATAATACTTGAGAAATAATTGTTCAGAAAGAATTGTTAAAAGAAATTTACCTAATATTACTGTTTGAAGAATTTAACTTCTAACAAGTAAGTTCCTCCAAGTGTAATACATCGTTCCATTACTAATTTGCGGTTCGTGTTAATTCGACAGTAGCGAGATGATGCTCGTTGAACAATTTTGTTGTGGTATCTGAGACCTCCTATTTCCCGATGAGATTCGTGTAGAAAGTTTACCTCGCTAATTTGTGGTGATCGATCGCGAAATCGCACCCATTAAATCGCTCGTGTTAGATTATTGGCTATTCGAGCTTGCAAATCCGAGCTTTTGTTACATGACGTTCGCTCCGGAAGTTTGCTTGATAAATACCTTTTAGCTTGTTAGGTGGTCGTATAAAGGTGTCGGAAATTTGGGTAGTTTCTGACAACTATAAATATTCTAGTTATATAGCTGCTGTCGAACTTTATTTAACGCTGCATAATACTAATTTTTATGTAATTTTGTATGAATTGTACTATTGAACAAAAATTTCTAATATGCAAAGATGTGGGTAAAATTTGAAAATCCTATGTCGATTCTATTTAGTTACACATCACATGCTTTTTTGGATAAAATAAATTTTAACATAAAAATTTTTGAATGACTGAATGTTAGAATAAAGTGTAGTAATTTATAGTATTACAACAAATGTGGCATTATGTTCTATGTTATATGTTATATTATATTATGTGTTAAATAATATGTTGTATAATAATAATTCTATTATAACAATTTTGTTGTATCATAATATAATATATCGTAATACCTTATTACTACAATTTATGGTATTATAATACATTAGAATATACGTATTTTAATAAATTATTATAATTTCAATAATATACTATCACCATAATGTTCTAAATATTATATTATGCACTATATCATATTAGCATAGGTTTTCATGATTTATTAATATTCACATCAAAATAAATTATAGTATGCAAATTTTTGATCGATCTTATACTATAATAAATTACTGTAATTTCTAATTATACCTTATAACATAATTTATCATTTTAAATAATGTATAATTTATAATTTATAATTTAAAAATATATCCAAATATTACTTATAATGAATCATATATTAATGACTAACACTATAATTAATTTTAATAATTAAATTATCTCATAACTCTCTCTACTTTAAAGCAAAATTGCTGAAAAGCACTTTCAAGTATATTTTCCCAGTGTACCCATAATAATAGTAAAATTATCACTTAAAATAGTCTCTCGTATATTTAATTATAACCCACAATTTTCAGAACGAATTATCCAACATTAATCTCCATAATTGGGTAATAAAAAACCCCTTCTGTAAGAATAAATTATAGGTAATTTTCACAATATCAATCTTTGCCTTAAAGGAAATTGATTCTCCATTTAGAAAATTCGACAGGTTATTCCACAACGAATTCAACTCGTTGACCTATAATATATTGAACTTTCAAGGTTATTTAAGTTCACCCAAGGTCAGTTAGCGTCGTTCAAAACTAGCCGTCGTTAAACGTTCAGAAGTTGTCCCTAATCTCCTGTACATATTTGGAAGGACGACCTTTAACCCGGTGATTTATTTGATCCCTAAATAATAGTTCCACCCTTTCGAAAGTTGCGCAACTAATTTGTTAGCAGCTATCCCTAATCCGATCTCTGACGTATTGTTAAGGATAGTGAATTCCTTCTGGTAAACTTAGTCTGCTTAAATTATAATAAATATTCTCTAACATGAAATCATATGTAGATTATTTAGAAATGAGTTCTAACTAAACTTTTTTCTGAATTGAATACATTATTAAATTATATTGTAAACTATAATTATAATTGTATTAAGACTGATGTTTCTGATTTATGCAATATAAATTTGATTCATAAAGTTACATGCAATAATAAGTTAAGTTAAGTCTAGCTGCTGTAAAAAATGAATGAAAATATTCTTCATAAGTTACATATTATGTAAGCATAAATTAAAAAATGCTCAGATAATTTAACATCGATCTTATCCATTTTACATTCTGAAAATCTGAATAAATTCCTTTTATGAAATATCTGTACTTTTACTATTTTTCTCCTGAAACTGTTATATCTCAAGAGTGCTCAGCTAAAATTTTAGCTTTCTATATTAAAATCGAAAAAAGTTTTGAATTTTTCTGTGAAAATCATTTTCTCAATTTTACTTCATATTCAACGTGTTTAAATTTACTGAAATCAGCCATAAAATATGTTAGAACTTCCAAAGATTATTCATAATTTTTTTCAAGTTAAAATAATGAGTATCTTCTTCATAAGAAACATTTATAATGCCTAGGGTCTTGAATGACCCAGTGTGCCAAATATGAAGATATGACCGCCAGATATGCTATTTCGATGAAGTGTGACTCGAAAAGAATGTGTATTGAATATTTCTAGAATTTATTTGTCTACTCACCGTAGTGGAGGCGCTCGAACTTCGGTGTTGCTTCACTGGTGGACTTCCATGAACCGTTTGAACGTCAGAATTTAATTGACGGTTCACAACGGACGGCTGATGGTGCTGCACCGTTGGCTCTATATCGAGATAGCAATGAGCCTCCAGGTGGCTTTGAGCTCTTCTTTCTTCAAGGACTATTTTACGAGCGGCACAGAATATCCTGTAGTACACCTGAAACAAAAACATCGTCGAGTTCAGTAGAAATCTCAAATTAATTCATAAGAATAATTTATTTGAATTGATCAAGATAATAATCATAATTTTTAAATAATTTGATGGATTATTAATAATGCAATATATTAGATTAATAATGGTGGATACTATATTTGCGAGAAGGAGGGCTGTGTGGCAGAAACTAATAGTTAGTCAGTTTTATATTTCTTTTTTAAATTTCTTCAATTATGGATTACTATATTTCTATATTTTCAATTTTTTAAGTTCTGTATTGCTGAATTTTGAAATTTTTTAATTTTATAATTTTTACGTTGCATATTAAAGTACACACATTTGAATTTTTCCATTTTTCCATTTTTCAATTCTTCAATTCTTCAATTCTTCAATTCTTTAATTCTCCACTTCTTCAATTTTCCATTTCTCAATTCTTCAATTCTTTAATTCTTCATTTCTTCAATTTTTCCATTTTTCAATTCTTCAACTCTTCACTTCTTCAATTTTTCCATTTTTCAATTCTTTAACTCTTCACTTCTTCAATTCTTCAATATTTCAATTTTGCAATTTTTCAATTCTTCAATTTTCCATTTTTCCAATTCTTCAATTCTTCAATTCTTCAATGTTCAAATTCCCAAACCTTCAAAAGACATTTCTACATTTTCCAAGTTTCCATTTTTTCCAATATTTCCAATACTTTCATACTTCCAAATTTTTAAATTGTCACATTATCAAGTTTGTGTATTACAAAATTCATACGTTCCCAAATTTCGAAATTCCCTAATTATAAAAATATTCAAACAAATACTTGACTTTGAAAATTTGTGATTTCAGAAATTTCTATCATTAAAAACGCGGAAAATCTCCAAATTTAAAAATGTGTAACTTTACAATTCTCCATCACAAAAATATACAAAAATCCCTAAATTAAAAGTAGCTTAATTTAACAATTTTTTGTTACTAAAAATCTTCAATTTTCTAAGAAAGACGGTGTCTAGATTCAATTGAACTTAACTAGATTAACCCAATGCAATGGATGTTACCTACCCCAAGTAATAAATACCGAAATTCAAACATAAATAAAATTGAACTGCACCTGTATCATCAGCAAGAAATCGCACTAAATCCATATTTGAACCAGCGGTAAATCTAAATAAATCTAAAAAATATAGGTCAACATAAAACCGTAAAAGTCACGCAGTAAACAGACAAACCGCTGACCACCAGACGGAAAGATCGTTAACGATCTCAAATTTGTTGTTTTCCCACGTGGACGGAAAAACTGACATTCGATGTTGCGGTCCCGATTGATTGGACGTTTCACGTGCAAACAAACCCATGGAAATAATTGGTGGGAAACCAACGCAACGTAACGAGTCCGGAAAATAAATGGTCGCGCGCACTTTCGTGGTTATATGACAACGTTAACGTGAATTGACATAATAACAGCGAAATAATTGCCGCACCGACCAACGATCGTCGACGGTCAACGAATGACAGTTTTATTGCCAGCCGTTGCTTTAATTAATGCGATAAAATGTGTCCCGATGTTTGCGATAGATAAAACGCGATCTAGTCATCAGCTTTGTTTCCAGGAAACGTATTTATCGAGAACGTGAACAGCATCGTAAGAACGTTTTTATAGTCTTTTCCAATAAAAGCACCAAGAAAAGAGTTTGAGATAACCTTGTTCCGCAGAGAACACAGTAGGGCATCCTTGAAAGGATGCAGAAGTTTTCTTTTGCAGGGATCATGGCCAGAAAGGGGAAGGAGGTTTTTAATGGGGTAAATTTGTAATTACTGGAATTTAAACGTTTTGAGATATGAATTTAGAGGTATTATATGTAAGAATTTAGAAAATTAAAAATTTTTTTATTTGAGAAACTTTAAATTTAAAATATAAAAGTGGAAACTCAAGGCTCAAAAGTGAAAACTCAAAATTTCATCTTTAATAACTGAACACAAGTTATTCAATTATATAATTCTTCGATTCTTTAATTAATTGTTTCCTCAAATCTCCAAATTTTCAATTCTTCAATTCTTCGATTTTCCAATTCTTCCATTTCTCAATTTGTCAATTTGTCAATTCTTCAATTCCTTGATTTTCCAATTCTTCAATTCCTTAATTTCTCAATTTTCCAATTCTGCAATTCTTGAATATTTCAATTCTCCCATTTTTCAATTCTTCAATTCTTCGATTTTGGAATTTTGCAATTCTTCAATTTTCCAACTCTTCAATTTCTTAATTTCTCAATTTTTCAATTCTTCAATTTCTGAATTTTCTAATTCTTCAATTCTTCAACATTTCAATTCTTTAATATTACAATTTTTTAATATTTCAATTCTTCCATTTTTTAATTCTTCAACTCTTCAATTTTGGAATTTTGGAATTTTGCAACTCTTCAATTTCTCAATTTTCTAATTCTTCAATTCTTCAATTCTTCAATTCTTCAATTCTTCAATTCTTCAATTCTTCAATTCTTCAATTCTTCAATATTTCAATTCTTCCATTTTTTAATTCTTCAACTCTTCGATTTTGGAATTTTGCAATTCTTCAATTTTCCAACTCTTCAATTTCTCAACTTTTCAATTCTTCAATTTCTCTATTTTTCAATTCTTCAATTCTTCAATTCTTCAATTCTTCAATTCTTCAATTCTTCAATTCTTCAATTTTTCAATTCTTTGATTTTGCAATTTTTCAATGTTTAAGCTCCCATATTCCTAATTTCCATATGTAAATAGTTTCGAATTCCAAAATGTTTATATTTCCAAACTCTGATATTTCAATATTTCTCAAATTTCATATTTCCACATTTTCTAATCTGAACCCTCTATGTATAAATATCCAAATGTCAAATACCAAAAATCCCAGAAATTTGCAAACTCAGAATCGTGTAAGTGTTTCAATCCTCAAATTTGATCAATTTAAAAATTACCCCACTATTAATCTAGTTAAACCAGTCAAACTAATTAACACTAAAACTATCAAATCGGTCAAATGACCTCTCCACAAGTTTCTTATTATAAGGTACACATTTTGTTAAAGTACATTCCTTGAAATCAGCATTGATTTTCATCAAGGTAAAAAATAAATGTGTGTACTAATTTATGTTTCGTCGTGTGTTTATTTATTTTTACTTCATTTTTAATTTCAAATTGAGTACACATTATATGTCGGTAGTTTTAGTGTTAAACTAGTAAAATTTTCAAATTCCCAACCTAGAACCTAGCGATTCTTTTCGTATATCTTACCATTCACCCTGTCAATAATCCATCATATTCGCCTGCGTATCCCTAGGGATAATCCACCATATTCGTCAGCGTATCCGTCTCGACGCATCCCGTGTAATGGTTTTCGGCTCACAGCGGATTTCAATTAGGTTGAATTATGAAGGGCCCACTCGATTAAGAGTTAGTTCAAAGTTCGAAATTATAATCATCGCTTTCGGTGATCCGCCTTGTAACGTGATACACTTCCTAACGCATTAATTAGACTTCATTAGACCCAGGTAACTAACTTTGTTGTCGACCGATACATTATTAAACTCCGATGACCCTTTAATCACTTTAGAGCGTCGGCGTCTCAATTAATTTGATAAAGCTTAACAATTCTGTAGGATGTTGCGTTTTCGAAATGATGGATAACATTTTGCGGGTATGCAAGAAATTCAGATACAGTGTGTATTTATCGTCAAGTAAATTTCAATTTCGACGAACAACTCTTTTCCTCTCCGCTCGAAACGTTCAAGTTTACTCTGCGATTAATTGAAATCACTTCATGTTTAAGGACTTTTAAACTCGATTTAAGAACTGTTCTTAAGTTTCACTAGGGCCACTTCGGTCTGATAATTAAGTACACTTTGAAATCCGGGAAGAACTGAATTTCAAACTGCTTTGCAAGCGTTCGTCCGTCGTTTGTGAAGTACTTACAACTGTTTTTGTTTCAACGGTCGTTGAAAACGGTGTTATTTTTCGATTGGAAAGGAATTTCTGTTTCAAAGGATACTTTGGAACTTCTTGTTTTAACGTGTTGAAACTGTTAACAGTTATTAAAATAAGTGGGTCATTTAGGAGCCTAGTAGAGAAGTTTGCAAGTATTTTTTATTGTAATGTATTTAGCGCCATCATGATAAAGGTGGAACTTTTCTTAATTATGAGATATTCATCAAATATCATTGATTTGACTTCTTCGATAATTTATTTAAATTTATTATAAATTCATATTTTATTAAATTGCAATGGGTGGTAGACAGTTCGATTAGTTCAAAGAGATTTTTATAAATTATTGTTAATTGGTTATTGAATTTGGATATCTAATTTATTAATATGATTCTTTTAACTATATTTATGAAGGTTAATTTAGAATCTTATAATGTATGATAAGTATAAAACAAAAGTAACACAAAAGTTACAATAAAACTTAATTATAATAATCTTTCCTTTTCTTTTTGGATTTTTTATAACAAATCTAAAAAACGTACAAATAATTTATAACTAGACCATACACTACAAGGTGAGATACAAATATAAATAAATAATATAATGTTGAAAGATGTTACGTTTCAATATATTTATTATTGTATCATTACGCATAAGGTTACGCATAAGGTAATTTATTATTAAATTACAATCGTTTTGATTATGATAAAGCTTCAAATTATTCTACTAAAAAGAGTGCTAAGAGAAAGTCCGCCATACTGATTTAAATCAGGCGGGAAAATTCAAATTTACTTGTACACAGTCGAAAATCTAACATTTAAATTATTACAGAATTAATTTTAATCTTAGTTCAATTTGTCTGTACTTTAATTTTAGCATTTTCATGAAAACAACTTTGTACAATAAAATGAAAGAAACATTTTTGCCAATGTTAACTGAAATGTTATAATTCATTCCGTTACAGAATCAATTTTGTTCTGCGTTTAATTCATTGTAATTTCAATTTGAATGTTTGTATAACGACATCTTTTTATAACAATATTGCTGAACAGATATTTAATACGAAATACAGAAATTTAATCCATTACAGAATCAATCCTGATTTCAATACATTTTGTTTTAATTTTAATTTTAGCAGTTGTAGACGTCGTTTCATAATAAAATCATATAACGAGCGTTCCTATTGATTTAAATTGAAATTTTATAATTTGTAAAATCAATTTTAATCCTGGTTTAATTTGTTTCGATTTCAATCTTGATATTTATGTGAAGATAATATTCTATCAAAAAATAGCAAAAGTAATACTTTCGTCAAGGTAATATAGGACATTAAGAATTAATTTTGTAGTATTTGTTTTTTAGTTTTAGTTTAATAGCTTCGTATTTCAAAGTATATTTATAAATATTATATAATGAACTGATTAAAATAAACAAACATAATTGATATTACAACAGAATAAATTCTATTATGTAGCTTTAAATTTATAAGATTATTTGTTTCTTTATTTTAGAATGAAAATTCCTCTTCGTGTAAATAAATTTGAATTTTACTGCCACGCGAAATCGGGTTTTAATCAAAATGGCGGACAATTTTCTATCGCTCCCTTGAAACTTACTGCGTTAAAATGTTCTTATGTGTAAGATTAGCTAAAATAATAGTTATCAAAATTAATATGTGAACAATAGCAATATTTTTTTGTAAATAATATTACATTACAATATAATATCATACATGATCAAATAGATATAAATAATACTTCTTCAAATATGAAATGAATGATTTTCTATCACTCTTGAGGCTCACTGCGTTGAAATACTCCTACGTTAAAAATTCACCAAAATAAGAATTATCAAATTTAATATCGAAACAACTGTAATATTTTCTTGTAAATAATATTACATCAAATACCACGTAATATTTTATACGATTAAATATACAAAAATAATATTTTTCCAAATAACAAATGAATGATTTTCTGTCACTCTCGAGGTTCACTGCGTTTAAACACTACTACGTTAAAAATTCACCAAAATATGAATTTTTGACAAATTTAATATCCACACAACTGAAGTATTTCCGTGTAAATAGTAAATGTAAATATTATATCACGCATCAGAATTTATATAACATTTTTTCATATAACAAATGACTGATCACTCTCCTGAGACACACTGAAACATTACCACGCTAAAAATCCCCCAAAATAATATTTATCAAAACTAACCTCCAAACGATTGCAATATTTCCTTGTGCGAGGTACCGCGAGTGATCTATACAACTGTTGGCGACATAATGCCCCGAGGCGCGTGTCCTCGCGTCTTTTATTAATTTCAGTATCGAAGGCTCTGGAAGCCTTAGCTTTCAATTGTTTGTTCCGTTCGCCACGCTTCCCGAACATTCGGGATCCTTCTCGACACTCCCCGATGCATCCCGCAACGGACACGCACACTCACACACACACACACGCACACACAAAGCGTACAACAAATTAACGCTTACACTAGTAATCTTCGATAAGATAAGATACTGAAAGAATGTTTCTTGAAATTCTAAAAATTATTTTAACATTTACAACGCAATGTGTAACATGTGGGTCATCAATGGTTTACGATATTCATCGCAAATGCACTTTTAGTTGAGGAAACGTGTTCTTAAATTGGGTTCTACAACAAAATGTGAGTAAAATGTAATTTTTAATGTAACTCTAAAAACGAACATATAGTAAAATATTATATACATAACTATTGTAATAGTTCTTTTTCTATATTGATGTATATAATTCAATTATACGATACATTTTAAGTACATAATATTTAAGTAAACTTCAAAGATTTTACAGTACCAAATATGATAAGCAGAGTAAGGCGCTATCATGTAATCGATTATGTTAATTATGCAGATTACAATAATTTCGACGCATGTTATACAGATTAAATTCATGTATTCGCGTAACCTCATATATTCAGACAGGATATGGTAACTACTATGTTCATTTTGAATATTATTACCATTCATGGCGACAAACAAATAAGTACAGACAATATATTAAATTACATTATCTGTTTCGCGCAATTTTTTTTCAACTACAACTACATATTTTTTATATTGAAATATTTAAAGAATTAAAAAAATTTGTAAATGTGGAATTTGAGGATTTGGAAATATTCAGATTTTCGAAGTTGAAAGTTTGGAAAATTAAGAATTGTAAAATTTGGATTTTTTATTTCAAATTTAAAACTTTAGAAAAACTTGATTTTTGAGTTCCAAATTAAAAAATTTACCAATGACAAAATTACCAATTCCAACTTTACCTTACAACAAATTAACGCTTACACTTGCAAACAATACTATATCACATGCTATACAACATACACACTATCAAATAAATACAAATAATATTTTTCCAAATAACAAATGTCTCGCTCCTCAACTCAACAAACTTACCTGAATCATCACCAACAGAGGAATATAGAAGCTCCCAAGCGTAGCGTAGATCTGATAGAAGAAATTCTGGCAGACTACACAATGAAACGCTCCAGTTTCCGAATAGGTATGTTCATTTCCCATTATCAACAACGGTGGTAAACTGATGCAAGCTGCTCCTAACCAAACGAGGCTCACGTAGATGATCATCCGCCGAGGAGTCCTCTTCACCCCATATTTTAGTGGCTTTGTGATGGCGCAGAAACTGAAAAACAACGAGACGCAAGCTTCGTTTATAAGCAACGAGACACGAATGCCATCGAGAAAATAGAGCAAGCTCGTCCGATGTTGAAGACAATGGGACACGCTGTGCTCTGCTTTTCTTGACCCTCGTTTACTTCGCGTAAATTGGTTCAGGACTGTGTGTCTGGTTACGGGTTTAACTTGTGGCCAAAGAAAATACGGCAGAGCTTTGTTCTGTACGTTTGATAGCAAATTCCTTTGTTTATATTATATTCTCTAGTTAGCGCGTTGTCTAATAGAATATGAATTTATTTTTAATATTAGAAGAGCCACAATGTTGAGTGACAGAATTGAGATGGGAATAGTTTGTGTTAATTTGTTGGAAATTTTTGGGGGTAGAATTTGAGGGTTTGGAGAATTTGGAATTTGGGAATTTTGGAGTTCAGCAATTTGAAGATTTGGAAATTTTTGTGTTTGATAGCTTTAAGAGGTAGAAATTTGGGGAGTTGATAATTTAGAGATAAATGTGGTAACTTAATTACTAGAAAATATGAAAATTTTAGAGCTTCAAAAATTTAGATACACGTTCAGGAATTTGGAAATTTAATCATTTGGGAGATTTAAAATTTGTAAATTTTTTATCTTGAAAATTCGGAAATTTATGAATTTGATAATTTAGAAATATAGAAATTTAAGAATTTGGATATGGGGTTAAGAAATGTAGGATTTTGGTAATTCGATAATTTGACCATTTGACAAATTGAAAATTTGGGTATTGTGGGATATAGGTGCATTCAGTAACTCGCTAATTTTTGGATGAACAATTTGCTCATCTAAGATTTTGCAAACTCGGCAATTTAGTAATTTAAGGATTTAAAAATTCAAAGAATTAAAAATTTAAGTATTGTGAAATTTAAAGATAAATTCCTAATATGATAGATTCTTATGAAGATTCAAGCATCTACGATGTTAATCCGCGAGCGTCATTTTGCCTAATTAAAGTCTTCCAAAGACCTATCACGCGCCAACTCATGGTTTGACATCAGTATACGCGAGTCAAGGTATTTAACGGAAAGGTCTAACAAGGAAATTAACAGGTTAACTCACCGATCAACGGAGATCATGCACAGATTGAGGATGCTGGCCGTGCAGCTGAGCACGTCGAAGCTAACCCAAAAGTCGCACATAAATGCACCGAAGGACCAATTACCGGAGATCTCGTAGAGCAACGCCATCGGCATCACCAGAAGGGCGACACAGAGATCGCTAACTGCCAAACTAACCAGCAAATAGTTGCAGGGTCTTCGTAGCTTCCTAACGAGGAACACGGCGACGCAGACCAGAATGTTGCCGATCACTGTCCCGACAATGATGCTACCAAGCACCAGGGCGATTAGTATTGCCTGCAAGCAATCAGACAAGCATTTTCATTATGCCATCGTTGAATGAATATAGCTGATAGCTTAGCGATATTACACGTGAAAGCTCTGGTTTACAAAGAGATTTATTTTTCATTTTTTGAAACATGTCATTGTAAAATTTATTCAACACTATTTTGAGATATTTGAAATTTTATTCAACACTACTCTGAGATGTTCTAAATTTTGTTGAATAATATTTGGAGGTATTCTAAATTTTGTTCAACACTATTTTGAGATATTTTAAATTTTGTTGAACACTATTTTGAGATATTTGAAATTTTATTCAACACTACTTTGAGGTATTCTAAATTTTGTTGAATAATATTTGGAGGTATTCTAAATTTTGTTGAACACTATTTTGAGATATTTTAAATTTTGTTGAACACTATTTTGAGATATTTGAAAGTTTATTCAACACTATTCTGAGATGTTCTAAATTGTGTTGAATAATATTTGGAGGTATTCTAAATTTTGTTCGACACTATTTCGAGATATTTGAAATTTTGTTGAACACTATTTTGAGATATTTGAAAGTTTATTCAACACTATTCTGAGATGTTCTAAATTGTGTTGAATAATATTTGGAGGTATTCTAAATTTTGTTCAACACTATTTTGAGATATTTGAAATTCCGTTGAACACTATTTTGAGATATTTGAAATTTTATTCAACACTATTATGCGACATTCTAAATTTTATCAAACACTATTTATCTCAAGATAGTTATTCTAACAGATTACTAAATTGGATTTTTCAATATGTCATTAATAATTTGATGTTATTAATAATCTATAAGTATCAATAATCGAACATGTTCATTATTATCGATAATCCATAAATATTAATAATTGAACATTATTATCGAAACTCGATAAGAATTAATAATGGAACTTACAGATTACTAGTATCTTATGAAAAGGTTCATAAATTATTTGGTATCGACGAATGAATATCGAACATGAATTAACCCGACGAGCCAATAACCTACTTCAACCATGATTCGTACATGATCAATATTAGCAGCGATAAAAAGGTGTAGTGTGCTTTTGTCGTGAAACAAGCTACGCAGGAATTACGTAATGTCAGATTCACGCCAGCAGATCATTGTTCCCTGGCGTTTCCAGTAATTTCTGAGTGGTCCTACTAAATCACTGTTGTCCACTGACTCTCATTGGCGAAACGGTATTTTTAATGGAAATCTGCGTGGATGAGGTAATTCGAGGGACCTTGCGGATAATTGAAATGCAGATTTCTCAATAAATTAAAAAAGCTGCATTCGATAGGGAAATCAATGGTACGGCGGTCGGGCTGGCTGCATTGCTGATGACTTCATTTTAAGTTTGTAATTGAGATTGCTTATTAAAATTTGGGTCACTTGAGATTTGATTGCTATCTGCATCCATTAGTTGATCATTTTAATACTTGCGTACATCGTATAGGGTTAAACAATTTTACAGAACGAGAGGATTTAAGGTATTTAATAACGATATTTTTAGGTTAGGTAAAATTAAGAACGATATTTTTAGGTTAGGTGCGTTAATCAAGAAAACGTAAATATGTAAATGTTATTTATGTGAGCTATATTTAGATCTGTGCTAATTAAGAAATTTGAAAAATTATGGAACTAAGTAAATAGTATTCTTAATTCAGATTTGTGTTAATTAGGAAACCTGAGAAATGAAAATATGTAAATAACATTCTTGATTTAGATTTCGTTTAATTAAAAAATTTCAGAAATCACCGAAATATGTAAACGATATACCTAATTTGTGTTAATTAAGAAATTTGACGAATCATGTGAATCATAATTTAGATCAGTGTCAAATTTGATAAATTCTGAAAATATATAAATACCGCTTAGTTACTTAATCGTGTTCTGACTTAATTTATGGAAAAAGCGGTGAGTAAAATTCAGAAAAATATTTGGTGAAATGAAGAACCTGAAAAATACCTGCTGCAAGAGTAAGCAGTTAAAATACCACACGGAACGAAAATATGAAGCGTACAAATTACAGTTTACAACTTTTTCCTCTCAAGATTTCATGGTAAAACATAATTGCAGAAGAAATGGAGTTACAAAGCGTTAAATGTAGAAAAGAATAAAACATAGTTTTTATATTATTTTGTTAAGAAATATGAAAAATGAAATTCTTTTTTATAATACAAATATATAAGATTCATTCAAACACTTCAAAACCAAATACCTCGAAAACAATGTATTTTCAAGAAAAATTTTATAGTAAAAGTCTGACGATTTCATAAAAGAAATACATTTGTTTTATTCGTTTTTTATTTGTGGACGTTCTCGAAGTTGTTCGAAGGTGAACAGTGCTTTTTCAAATAGAAACCAATATTTTTCTTCGTAGAATTTTCTAACTTTACGAAAATGAGAATTTATGGAATTGAGAGAAAACTTCCATGCTTAATTAGTTTTATTTAAAATATGTGTTCGGTGAAAGAAAAATTTATTTTATAATTAAATAAAAGTTTCAGTAATTTATGAAAACTGAATTTACATTCAGTTAAATAACTGTTCTTATTGCCACAGATTTAAATTAATTGTCATTTAATATAACTTAACATGAATTAAGTTAACTTAGCTTGAATTAAGTTCAAGTCGGATTATGGTAAAATTTGTATTAATTAAAAACTCTTTTGTTAGCTGCGTAAAAAAGTTGTATTATATTGAAACTATTTCTCTGTTGCAAATTGTAGCATATAATTTTGCAATATATATTGCGAAATCATCAAAATTTATACATAGTATCTGTAATACGTATTAGTGAACCATCAATCTAAAAGCACCTCTCAAATTAATAACGTTTATGCCATTAAATACAGAATGTTACCACTGCAAAGTGCATTCGAAATAATATTCATCATTCCAATATATGTAGTCGTATCATTTTAACAGTTCAAATAATCCTGATGTATTAAGTAATACCAATTTATACTTCATCCGATTTTAAGCATTCACTGAATAATACAAAACTGGTGCTTAGTGTTTGTCAGTAAATATATCAAGGGATAAATTTCGAAACTCTCAAAATTTTATATAATTCTACCCTTTGCACTCGAGGTCTTTTTCACTAAAGGGAAGCAGAAATTCAAAACAAGTTTCTGTATGCATAATTTCTCATAGGTAACTTAAAATAATTTCACCTAATCAAATAACACATCAAACCATTATATCTAATTACTTCATGTATCCTCACATGAGAGAAAAGAAAATTTGTTAAATATTAAGCCCTATATTCTTTCCTTGTACAATATTTCATAAAACAATCGTCAACATGCACCCTCGGTTTATCGAAGAAAATATCGCAGTAATATATCGTTCGAATCTTTCACCAGGATTTTTTCTTCGAGAGTTAATCTTGCAAGTCCTAACACCTATTAGAATAACCTACAGCTTTCCATTCGATCAAATTTCATCGAAACTAGAGGTCGAAGTAAAAGCTCGATTACGAGTCTGGCGAAAATCTCTCAATTGGTCAACTAAAGTTCTTACATACCGTTAAAAGCAAACTTTTACAAAAACTTTAAAAGTGATATTCTCATTGGCACGACTGCTGAATTCGGATTAACAAAGACGGAGTCCGATTCGTGATCACGGACTAATTTCAGATACAAAATGGCGACTGCCGGGTGCTTCTCGAGTTGCCTCATTCGACCAAGTGGTAAGAGTCACCTCTCGAATGCAAATATTTAATTATTTATAGGAAAAATAAACGAAAGTAACTTCTGAAATAGTATGTGCTGTTTTCACTGACATATGTACACACTGACAGATCAGAAGATTAACTTGGAAGATACACCCACTCTTAACAATCTGTATTACGGCTGTCTTAGGTCTGACAAAATGTGTCTGGCCACAGTTTTCATTATGGTAGTCAACGTGTTAAAACAGAATGGCCTCAAATGTTTCAACAATAATGTATCTCTGAACTATATCTACCAACCAATAAAAATTTCAGGTTTCACATTATAAAACTTTATTGTGCTTTCGTCAAAATGACTGCTTTCAATTTTATATTAAAAAAATTTGAACATCGTATTCTGTCAAAATGGCTGTCATAATTTCTTGAAATAAAGAACGTTCAGCATTTACTTATTACACCTACAGAATCCGATTCGACATTATGAACTAATTTGAGTTACAAAATGGCGACTCCTGGTTACCTTATAAGTTTCCTCCTTGGATCAAACGGTTAGTCAGCTCAAAAATGAAACCCAAGGATAAATATAATGAACTCTCGATTTTTCAGTTTGAGGCTATAGAAAACTTGTACTTTTTATTTCTACTTATAAAGTAAATACGGAACACTATTTTAGAATTAAATTGAATATTTTTAATACTAAAATTACCAAAACGATCAAACAACCATTTTACAAGTCTCTTATTTTAGGTTAAAAAATTTGTTAGTGCGATTTCATTGAAATATACATATATTGAGCTTCATAAAAATATGTATATCAATTTATGTCTTGTCATTTATTTATTTGTCAACTTCATTTTCAATTTCAAACTAAGTCCGCTATTAATAACATCGTAACGCGTACAATTTGCTGCCGGTGAACATTTGTCGCTTTCATGAAAATTGCAATAGCAATTACACGTTTACACACCATCGAATCGTAACTCCGAAGTTCAAAATCGAAAAAAATCCTGTGAATTTGGTGCAACAGCCGTGAATGAAAGCTACACGCGTGATTACACGCGTGTAAAATATCGAGTTCATACACCAGCTATTCCAATATAAATTCCAGTATAAATAAAATATTCCGATAAATATTTTATTGGAATGAAGAGTGCATCGCGTATAAATTATCCTCGGGATCAATACGAGAGGAACGGTTTACACGCGTACAGTTATCGATTCGTCAAATTGCCATTAAATTTTTCAATATCGGCCGCAACGTTTCAAAGTCAAACTTCGTTCGTACCAATCGGATGTTTCGGATGCTCGCGTTCATGTATC